GTGAACGTCCATTAGCCGAGGACCCCAAGAGGGCTAAGAAGAGCGGCTTGATGATGCCCCAGGGCAACTTGGCTTCTGAGGGAGGGTACTGAGCACTTCTGTTATACCTGTCAAAGCACATGGCAAGCTTTACATGTCTCTTCCTCAGTAAAATCTTTCTGGTGGAGACGAGGTGTGCCAGAGGTTGTTTCCTTGTCCCACAAGTCTTGTATGATAAAAAAATGTCTACTTCTGCATTAGGCTGAACACAAGTTCTCTGGAGGGTTTTCCACAAAAAGTGAGAGAGAGGAAGAGACAGCCACCAGTTACAGCTCAGGAGATCCAGTGCAGTGGCGAGGACAGTGTTGTGGAGGCTGTGAGAGGGTCATGTCTCTGCTGTTTGACTTGGGACAAGTAATTTCAGTCAGGGTATTCTTATCTGAGTGGAGAGTCTTTTTTAGGCGGGTGCTTTGATGAGAAGTCCCACTCTAGAATCAAGACGTTGACCATCAAGACATGCCATTCCCAAACCCAGCCCTTTCCAGGCATGTGGTTTGGCCTGGCTGAATCATGGCTCTCTGACCCTCAAAGACAAATCCTGAGCAGGTCTGGTCAACAGGCGTCTCAACATGGATGTTTTTTGTAGCTATTCATGTCACTCAGACCCATTACTGCCTGGCTGATGGACAGCAGGGCTTTGTTCTCCTGTGCTGCAATCAGCGTACAAGACAGGAATTTGGTCCTTGCTGTCTCCCCATTGCAGCGGGAGAGCTACTTGTACCTGTTCTCCTCTGATAACAGAGTGGATTTATTTAGTTCTGTTGTGCTCAGTGGTGGCAGGAAGGTGACCACATACCTCATGAGCATAATTAGGATCTCCCCATGCTCATGGCAGAGAGAAGCTGATCCAAGAGAATTGTTCCCATGGGGCTGTAAAACTGTGGGCCTTGTCCCTAGGGAAGCAATAATGTGAGCGTAGTGGTGGGACGTCTGGCTTCTGTTTTTCCCTCTGTTCCTGAGCCTCTGGATCCTTTCAGATCTGCCCCTTAAGCTCTCTGGGTAGGATTCATCCATGCAGATGCATCTGAGCTCTCTATCCAGATTCCCATATCCGTTGGAGAGATACTTTTCCAGAGTGAATTAATTTCTTAACAATACAGATATCTCCCATAAGATGAGGCATTTCAACTTTGAAGCAGTGCCTAGTTTTCCCCACAAAGGATGCTAAATGAGTATCTGTGAAGACATCTGAAGCTAAATGAGGTGAAGCCCATCTTTGGTGCCTGGGCTTTCCTGAGTAAGCACTAGCAATGTTACTTGCAGATTGTCTCCTGCAGTGATTGTCATGAGATTCAAGTTGCTTTTCATCTTAGGATCTAGCTGAAATTACATTGTTAGGAAATTACCTTGAGATGTTTCCCTCACAATTAGCCGAAGATATTGTCACCAAAAGGTCTTACCTTGGTTTTATTTTCCAGTTTGAGATCTGGCTCTGATGTACCCGTCTTACCCCACCAGACAGTCCATCACACATCATTTCAGAGTATGGAAGAAACTGAACAGCTCGAGGAGCTTTGCAACCTCTTGACAGCCAAGGAATTTCAGACTTGTATAGAGGGGGTGATGCTCCTCCTCCATCACTGCAAACAAAGCCCCAAGTTCATCTCCGCTAACATTGTCCAGGTAGGTAGGGCATCTCTATGGTTCCCTTCCCGTTAGCTCCCTTCCCAAGCCGGTACCAGCAAAGTTAATTCAGTGTATCTTGGCACGACGTACTAGTTATTTGGACCAGGTCCGTCCCTTCTTTCCCAGAATAATTGAATTCAACTCCAGGCTTCAGGGCAAGTAATTTCAGTCCAAATGTATTTCTCTGGCATGTGCCTATTGGTACTGTTCATGAGACGATGACAGAATTTCCTGTTGCTGTAGCTTCTGCTGTCTCCGGCTACCACTTAGGTTGAAATAAAGGAAATCCAGCCACTGAAAGCTTGGCAATTCTTCTCCAGAAGAAAAATGGGTTGGCACGGGGGAGAGAAGTATCAGGCTGGGTTGATTTAAAAATGCTCCTGTAGACTTTATCTTGTCTTGTGCAGATAAAACTACCAATTCAATGCTGTCCTCATCCCTTTCCAGCTTTGGAAAGGCGGTTCTCACCTTTCCTGGGGGTCCTGTTTTTTCCCTTTGGAAAGAGGAAGAAAATGGGTCGAGACAGATTTTCTCTTCCTTCCCCTCACAGCGGCTGCTTTTTTCCCCTTTTCCAGAAGAAGATGCCTGATAATGTGGCTGTCAAGGGACTGAGCCTGCTCTAATGAGAACTGCACAGCATACTGAACTGCAGAAGTCTACCTGTTAGCTAGAGAAATGGTTTGGGTCCTGAAGAGTTCTGGGTCCAGAAGGTGCAGGTTCTGAGACAGATGGAACAAAACTTGGATCTCATCTGGCCACAGTTTTGGCAAAATCCAAACTACCCTCAGTGCTCGGGACAACTTTATGGAAAAATGGGCATTGTAAATACCTCTTTTCATACCTCTATAGCAGAGATAGTATTTTGCATTATTACAATGGGGTTAATTTAATGGTTTATAGGGAA